GAATTTGTGGCTTTTGCCATTTCGAGATGTGGGGGTTTGAGGGTTTCGGTGTTTGGGATGATTTAGGATGGGTTTAGGATGGCTTTGGTTTGACTCTTGGATTCTCAAAGTCAGCTCGCGTGTTGTTTGAAGTGACCATTTGGAGCGCTCTGACGGACCAGGGGCCGGTCATGGTCCGCTCCAAGCCTCACGATCCGACACCATCGCTAGCTGAGGATGCAAAGAGTCGTTTTCTGTCATTTGGCAGGGAAGCCAAAAGCAGTTATAGAGTTGACTTGTAACGCATGCCCAAACAAAATCATAAGTGTCACCAAAACAGTTATGCATGGAGTTGACTTGAAACTTGAAGCATTAAAAACCACCGTGTAAGTACAGTTTCCAAGGTTGTTTGTCTGGGTAGTGGAGGGCGGAGCATGGCCATGTTCAACGAACGGATGCGAAAATTGAAGGTGTCCAACCAGCCAGCGGACTCCGAAATTAGTTGATCTCCTTTTGAAATCTCCTTTTGGCTTGCCTTGAACTTGACTGTGCTTGGCATGTTGAGGTTGTGTTCTTTGGTCCTGTTCATCTTTTGCGCGGGGGGAGAGGGGCTCGAGCTGCAACTTTCTGGCAAGCTAAACTCACGATTTGCGGAGATGAACAAGAAAGAGCACTAAGAGCCAATAACTGCTTCAACTGGCGTTGAACAAACACCGTTTCGGTAGGTTTGCTTTTACAACCCTTGGTGTGGTAGTAAATAACTTTATTTTTGTAGCGCGCTGACAACTGTGAACCGGTTTCCTTTTTCTGAGATGCTCAGGCGCACCTCGTTTCCCTTTTTGTTTGGTGTTTTCAGAGTTAGTGACAAGTTGGCCTCAAGAATCCAAGAGATCCAGGTCACAAAACCTACCAAAAGAAGCTTGGAATGGAGTGGTTTTAAAGGGACACCAAACAGAAGCCATCCATTTGTTGGGTTCCAACCTTGAAGACACACCCCAATGCGGTTTTCAAGGTCAGTTTTAGGTCCAGGTTCCCGCCCCCAAAGAGCGCCGTCAGTTCCCACGTTTTGTTGGGTCAAATTTTCGGCAGACACAAACATGGAGCGGTCCATTCCCTCTTAAAGACCTTCTTTTTTGAGGCCTTTGGAAGCTTCAAGGCCTACTGTGGATGGTTGCGAAATCCATTTCGCACCCTGAGAAACCCTGGAATGATGATTCCCCTGTAATTACCAACAAACGGCATGGTTTCCGATGATTTCAAAGTGGTGCGAACGGATTTCGTCCAGCCACAGTATGAACATTGGGATACAGGATTTTCGCTTCCCCAACGTAAGTACCAAGAAACGTCATGGTTTCCATGGCTTCTTTGGCAGGATTTCGTCCATCCACCGTATTGCCAAAGGATGAACGTGGGGGTATATGCCCCTTTAGTGGCTATGACTTGCTGCTTAGGGAATTTGGGAATGAACCCAAAAGAGGTCCCCGGAAGGGTTTATCTCGGGGTCATGAACCCAGAGGGTCCCTTGGTACCTTCCAAGGAGGTACCTTTTACGACCCCTTTTTACCCCCTTTAAGCCATCCTCATGAGGTACCATCCGGGAAATCTCTGGGGATCTGAGTCCAAGGGCCTCAGGAACTAAGTTTTGAACCTCCAAAACCTCCAAAACCTCGATCGAAAGTCCGAGTTTTGGATTTGGACCTCCAAGACCTCGAGAGTAACGGCGGGTTCCCAAGTTCGGCGGGCTCCTCAAGCCAGGGCTTCGAGCGGTCCCGCTCCCGCACCTTCAGCTCCTCGGACTCGGGATGCGCGAAAGGTGGGGATGAAGCATTGGCTTGCGTATGTTGTTTACTCACAATATATGTTTATGTTTATGTATATATATATATATATGTGTGTCTACAGATTCCGGCAGTTATTTACATAATATATATATATATATATATATGTATGTTTACGTTTGTATATATATATATAGATATTCTGGGGCATGTTGGTTTGATTTGCTTCTTGTCACCCCAGCTTTGTCCCGGTTTTGGCGCCGTTTCCGCGTTTTCGCACGGCGCTTAGGTCAGATCCACGATCTGCCGCCGGCCGAGGACAACAACGAGAAGCGTGTGGTGCTTGAGGCCCAAGGGGCGCAGGGATCGAGCGGCTTGCGTTGGATTTCTATTTGGGTCCGGTTTTTTTTTGGGCCGCCCAAAAGTGTTGGTGTCCTTTCTCACTCCCTGAGTTCATGGACTTTATACTTCTTGGGAAGACCATTTTGGTGGTAAACAAAAAGTTTGGACTTGTTTTGGCCAATCAACTCAGGAAGCGAGCCTTTGGTTCCCCTTTCAAGCAGACCAAAAAGGAACACCCTCCAAAAAAAGCGCACATTCATTTGGCTCCATGTGAGGCACGTCCTCAAAACCAGGGAAGATGAAGGTTAGTAAGGGACAGTCCGGGTGCTGCAGCCGCTGTTTTATTTCTTTACGTGGTTCTGGGCAGACCATTTAAATACCAGGTGTTGTTTATGTATGTAATTCATGTGAGCTCCATTGTTTTTCGACCGTCCATGGTCCATATAGAGGAACCTGGGGAACTCGCTAAATTTCCAAAAGCGAGGGACTACGTACCTGAATGTCCCATTCGCTCTTAGGGGAACACGTATTGTTGACCATGTGGGGGGGCTTGTTGTCCTATTGGAGTGGTTCGTGGGTCTTCTCGGGGGTAATAAAAGCAGTTCCGAAACACGCGAATGGTTGGATCCTATGATGGCATGGCAAAGTGTGAGTTTAAAGTAGCCCCCCTCCCCCCCGCAATCACATCGGAAATTATATATTTGGGCGCTACGATAGTATGATTTGTTTTACGGGGAGCTTGGCGTTTCATTGCACCTCACTGACCGTTTTATACCGCTCCGCAAGCTCTTTTCATTTGCGTGGCTCTTTTGGTCTTTGTTCTTCACCTCTCACCAATTGATTATTGAGAAGGAGAAGTGGAGAGACAGACCCATCTTTCCCATTCTCACCGTTCCACCCATGATTTGCGGGTGATAATAGGAACGGACATGGAGGAAAGATGACCCCAAGTTCCAGAATTGTTCGGTAGGGTTTAGGGGCAGTTCCCAGATTGGGGTTGAACGTTGCTTGCGTAGACACAGCTACCCCAATGGATGGAGTAGTGCAACCCCCAAAGCACTGAGAACCCTCCCACCAATTCTCATGGAACCTGAGGGGGATCTTGGAAGACCATTTTCCTTTTAGAGGGATCTCCAGTCAGGTTCCATGTCAATTGGTGAGGGGCTAAACTTAAGCAAATGGGATTTTGATGACAGGGTTCTCAACTTCTGGAGCTCGAGACGTTCAACCTTGAAGGGAAATACGGTAAGCCCTTAAGGGTTCTGTTCCCCCGGGGTCAACAATTGCTAACACACCCCCTAGGAAAACCGAGAGGTTTAGTTATCCGGGGTCAATATGGGTCACAATTCAGCCGCAGTCCTTGTTTGCCTTTACGGATACCAATGTTTGACCATTGGGGTTACTATCCAAACGAAAGCTTGAGTAACAGTGTCTGCCTGTACCAGGATTTGATCAATTTTGGGGTTACCCAAATCTTGACCCATTCTTGGTTGGATGACCAACTATTTTGACCGCCGGAAACCAACCATGACCCATGGAACCGCGGTGGGCCAGCAACTCCATGCACTCCACCCCAGCCTTCTCCACCCCCCACCCCCCCACCTCCAAAAGCGCCACAACCGCTCGCTACAGCACCCGAGGAACCGGCGGCCCCGCCAGCCCTGGCGCCGCAGGCCGCCTGGGCGCAGGTGGGTGTTGGCGCCGCAGACCGGTTCCTTGGCCTCGGCTTCGGTGTCGCCTCGACCTTCGGCGGGACGGCGGCCGAGGGGGGCGGTGGGGAGACATGGGCATGGGTTGCATAACCAGTGGATGGTTGCGCATCACTTTGAAACCATGGTTGAAACCATTGTTTGGAATTTACAGGGGAAGCGAATCATTCTAGGGTTTCTTGGGTGGTGCGAAATGGTTTTCGTCCATCCACAGTATGGCTGCATATTGGGGTGGATGAACATCCATTTGCCACCAATTTTGATGTTCACCAGCAGTACAGGGTTTTGACCCACAGCCAAACGGGCGGCTCGTCTTTGTCGCACGCCCGAGTTCCGGGGCATTCCTGGACTTGAGTCACTTCTTGGGGCTTGGTCGCCATTTTGGTTAGTGTTTCTGGCCAGTCTACTCGGGAAGTGAGTTCTTTGAGGGTTTTCTGGGTTGGTTTGGTTTTGAAGGGGAACCCAAGGAAGAAGCAAAATCAACATTTTGGGGATATTTCTATTTTGGCACTTTTGGGGTGGGTTTTAAAGGCGACCAAAAGGAAACCGGCCGAATGTGTGTGTGTGTGTGTGTGCGCGCGTGTCGTGTGTGTGTGTCTTTCCTGAGGTATTCTCAAAGAAAGAGGCACCCAAATCCTGCAGCAGATGTCGCACTACCTGGGGTGTTATCCTCCTCACTGCTGCAGGTCTTTGTCCTTCCGCAGTTCTCACAGTCGACTCGTTTCTGGAGGGGTTTGACGGGAATCCACCAGGAGAACGCCCATTGCTTGTTACCAAACGTGGAGGGTGCTTGAACTGACAAAGTTATTTGAGAGTCCACTGTTGGTTTATGGAGGACATGGTGGCACCATCGTTTCCAAAAAAAGCCAGAGTGCCCACCCAATTTGGCACATGTTCAAGCCCAGGCTGAGTTGGTTTGGAGACCTGCACTCTTCCCCTTGTGACGGGCTCACCCGCCATTTGAGGAGGGGACATAAAAGCATGTTCAAATGGGTGTGATTTTTAAAGAAATAGGGTTGGCGCGCTGTGCCTGCAACCCTGGTAGACTCACTTCCTGAGTTTCTGGACGTTTTTTGTTTGGGGGGGAAGACCATTTTTGTGGTAAATACTTTCTTGGCCCATCCGCTCGATCGGAAGTGAGTCCTGGCTTGCGGCTTTGGCGTTTGCTTGAAACTTGATCCTGCACGCCCGCAGCCTGACACGTTGGAGAGCGGTGGGAGAGTGACCCTGTGACATGGCCATGGAGCGCTCTGAAGAGCCGATGGGCATCGCGCGCCGGCAGCACGAGAAGGGAAGGGGAGATTGCCGATGGGAATTTCAGGGGGTAAAACAAACGAGTCCGCCCCTTGAAACAAAGGTTGATATACCTGCAGTCTCCATGACCCTTAAAAAAACAGGTCCATGACCAACCATTATTTAGGGTAATGACCAACAATTTTTCAGTGTCAGAAGGAGACTCTAGGTACGTGTGTATATCTATTCATGTGATGTTTGAAGTTGTTTATGTAAATCACTCCCGCCGCCATGTTGGAGCCCCTGTTGCTCCAACAGCCTCCCTTTTCCCGAAGGCAGGGGGTGGTCGAGTTGCACGTTTTTCTCGACCAGCGGCAGGCGATCCGAGGTAGATCGGCTGCCTGGGGCCAAGAACGCAAAGGGGCATCCTTGTCTCGGTTCAAAGCCATCCGGTTCTGAAAGGTTGTTCGAGCTTTTTAGTTGGTTTAGTGGTTGGATTCCCGTTTAACCCACTAACAGTTGAGCTTTCAGCAGCGGATCTGAGCCCAGTTTTGATCGGTGAGTTGCGGAGATCCAGCCGCAAGGGCTCGAGAGGCCTCTGGGTTGTCATTCGGCAAACATTCTCATGCCGCTTGGATTCTCGCACTTGACGTTAGAAGTGGTGCGCGTCAGTTGTTCGATTTATTGTTCTGGGTGGTTCAAAGCCATCCGGTTCCTTGAGCGTGAAATAATTTGAGTGGGTCTAGTGGTAGTCTCCACATGTTGGTTAGCCACCCGGGTCCTTAGCTGTTAGATGTTGTTTCTCTTGGTAAAGTGGTAGTCTCCACACAGCTACCTCCCCTTAGGGTGTTGGTTCAGGAAACCACAAAACCCAACGGGATATCCAGCGCTTTGTATTGAAACGGAAGGCTTGGAACCCGTGAAGGTGGTCATTTGGGGCGATGGGCGACATGTTCCTCAGGAAAAGATCAAGGTCCTGGCGTATTCGATCCCCATGCTACTTGGCAATATTGATTTTTTCGGCGCTTTCCGCCGTTTTCGCGCCGCCAATGTTTGAGTCAACTGGGCAAATCTTGGTTTCTTAGCATTAGTTGGGTATTATCCTAACTGGTGCAGGAGTTTGTCCATCCGCAGGGTAGGTGGTTTATCTATTTCTCACAGTATTTGGGGTTGCATCCATCCAAACTGGTGCAGGAATTTGTCCATCCACAGTAGGGATCCACTGTTGGGGTTTGAGCCGCAGGCATGTCTTGCGCTGAGTCAACGGGTTCCCTAGATTTCCCCTTTGCGATATGAATGTTCATGGACCCTTTAGCCGAATTGTTTAGGTTTAGACTACCATACATCCAGGCGAATGACCACGACTTGTATTTGGAATGCCCCACATATTGCAAGAGAGCAAAGGAAACCCTGTAAATTCCCATGGTTTGTGGTTGTTTTGCTTGCAATATTTAGCAGGCTGACGCCTGATGCCGCCGACCCCTGTAACATCATCATCATTAGCATCAGCATCATTATCATCATTTGTCATCATCATCCTCAGCATCAGCCTCAGCATCCTCATCATCCATCATCAGAACAACATCACCATGGGCATCAGCATCATCATCATCGTCATCATCATCATCATCATCATCATCATCATCATCAGCATCATCATCATCATCATCATCATCATCATCATCCACCATCTCATTTTCATTAATTAGCATCATCATCCTCATCATCATCATCGTCAGCGCCAGCATGCCCATGGGTCAGAACTGCCCTTGGCCAGAGTCCTCGGCCAGCAACTTGAGCAAACACAACCCCCCCCCCCCCCCCTATTTGCCCAGAGCAATGTTCATTGTATAGTGGGTTGAACTTACCTCCCGCAGAGGCCAACCTGGAAGCTCTAACGGAACAAGGTAGTCACGAGCAGTGGGAGCTTCCACAACAGGCAAGCAGTGTTGGGCCTACCTCCGCAAAAACAACAGGTACAACTAGGCACTTCCGTTTGGCCGGCTGCGTATTACACGACAAGCACCCTTTTATTTCTGCCTCCTGTTTATGGGACGCCCTTCTCCTGCAGAGTCAAAAGGCGGTGGACAATTTCCATGATTGGCTATTCAAGGGCTGCATTTTTCCTTCCTCCTTGGCAAGCACCTGCTTCGTTCATGGGGCTCTATGTTCCGTGCTACACCGGGGTCCCTGTTCGGAACGCCGCGTTGGAAGATCCCCACATTCAGAGTCCATGTGTCGTGCAGGAGAAGTTCGGGGTTGGTCCTTGTTAGACCACCGGTCTGAACTGTATTGTTGATCCCTAGATCTAGTCTCCTCCCAGAGGTCGTCAACCAAAAAACTCCCGCAAAAGGACAAGTCTCCTGAGGGCATCGCCTTTTTGGTCTCGGCAACCGGGAAAAGGCGGCGGTTGCATCCCCAGCTTCACCAGCTCTAGCGTGATGCTAGGGATGCTGGGGATGCAAGACCTGCCTTTTTTGTCTTGGACAACAGATCCCCAGCTTTGCCAGCATCATCTCGCAAATGCCTTCGATGATGTTCCCGCAGTCTTCCGTCATCTTTGTGCCGTCATCTTCCCGTAGTCTTCCGTCATCTTCCCGTAGTCTTCCGTCATCTTCCCGCAGTATTCCGTCATATTCCCGTAGTCTTCCGTCATCTTCCCGTTAGGGTTAGAGGTTAGAGTCTTCCGTCATCTTCCCGTGTCATCTTCCCATAGTCTTCCGTCATCTTCCCGTCATCTTCCCGTAGTCTTCCGTCATCCGTGGTCTTCCGTCCTTTTCCCGTCATCTTCCCGCAGTCTTCCGTCATCTTCCCGTAGTCTTCTGTCAGCTTCCCGCTTCCCGTCATCTTCGCGTAGTTTTCCGTCAGCTTCCCATAGTCTTCCGTCATCTTCCCGCAGTCTTTCATCATCATCCATCCTCACGGTTAGAGGTTAAGGTTAGAGGTTAAGGTTAGAGGTTAGGGTTAGAGGTTAGGGTTAGAGGTTAGGGTTAGAGGTTAAGGTTAGAGGTTAGAGGTTAGGGTTAGAGGTTAGGGTTAGAGGTTAGGCGTGTCAAAAATCCGCCGCTGGACCCCCCCTCCCCCCCTCAGACTCCCCCTAACCACCACTTAGAACACGCCTCGCCCCTTTGCAGAGACTAACTTGGCTTTTGCAAAGGGGTCGGCGGATTTAGGGCATCCACCATAATGAGAGTTAGCCGTGGCTAGTGATTTCGAGCTTTGGTCAACTGGCCATTAGTCTATAGTCCATTTGGACGCGACTTGGGACTCTTTAAACAAAACAAGAGTATTTGTTCCACCAATGCCAGGTGAACCTCCAATTGCCCCATGCTCACGTGTTTTTTCCCCTGTAGTGAGAAACAGCCAGCTAGCACATGGACCTCTTGTTGAAGCATTTCCTGAGAAGTATTTGAGCTCTGTTTGTTTAAGGTTGGACACCCCAAAATGCTTTTCTCTCTTTTGGATGTCCCTTTACAACCACCCACCAAAGACGACACACCCAAACGTGTGGAAACTGCAGTACTATGCGACAGATCGCTACCCACTCGGCCGTGGCGATTCGGGTAGATGAAGGCAAGGGAGAGTGTCCTTGCCATAAGTGCTTTGGCGCATTTTGCTTGGCTGTTAGGACTTTAGCTTTTTGCCAACTGCTGGGTTTTCCGTACTAAACCACTAAAAGTTGAAAACTTTTAGCAGGGGAGCAGATTTCGCCACCGAGAATGGGTTCGGACATGCGCCTTTATTCCTTACATGGTCCTGGGCCCCGGCCATTTGAGTTCAGATCGGTTGTGACTCAGCTGATTGCGAGGAACCGGATCAGGGGTTATTTTTTGGCTGCAGTAGGCCAAAAATGACAACGAGTCCGGGTGTTGTTTGCATGAACCGGTTTTGGGGATTTCCCAATAAAGGAAACCACCAGATGGATGGTTTACGAGGTTCATTCCCTCATTTCGTGCTGAGAACCAGCAAGTTTGTCCCCGACAAAAGCCAGCCCAAAACGCCAAAAGGGGTGCCAACTCAACAACACACACCAGTTGTCTTCCATTTGCTTAAGAATATTTTTATGTTTCCCTGTTGGCTTTAAAGGGAATCTATCACTACTGGAAAATATGTGTTTTTGTTTCCAGAGGACTTGAGCAAATGGACTCAAGCACACACACACACACTCTAGGTCCCCCAGTAGTGCCCTTTTACCCTTTTTTGGGGGAGGGTTCCCCCACTAAAGTAGACTGCAGACCAAAAGTTGGGTACCCTTATTCTAACCTCTCAAATCTGGAGGACCTAGCTCCCGTGGTCTCCTTCTTTTCGGGCCACCAGTGGCGACAGGATGGGCCACCTCACCCCACTGCTGCACCTGAGCAAAGCCTTGGCGGCACGGGGCCACGACGTGCTGGTGGTCAGCTCGGAGTTTCTGGAGGCCTGGCCAGACTTTGAGCCACAGTCAAAACCGCTTCGGGTAGATGAAGGTTAGTGAGGGACGATTTGCCATAAATAGCTGTGGATATCCGGCTTCTTAATTCTTGAAGCATGGTTCTAGGCAGACCAGTTTACTTCCCCAGAATTAGCTCCCCTTTTTGTGTTTTGTTTTTTTGCTTTTTGGGGTACTTTCTTTGTTTTCCACTAACCAGGCAAAATATATATATATATATATATGTATATTTGCTGGGGTTCTAATTCCAGCCTGGGCTTCTGAAAAAAACGGTTTGGATGTGCGGTCAAAACCGCGGTTATCCCCCAGTGAACATCCCAATCCAACCACTAAAAGTATGTTCTAAAAAGGGTGGTGAAATCACCTACCCCAAATGGGATCCCAAACCGGTGTTGACTCACGGCTATGTGGCCTTATTGGATCCGCCCCTGTAGGATATTAAAAGGGCGCTGGAAGATTGATTGCTAACTCAAAGATTACCAAAAAACAAAAGGACCAGCAGAGGGAGGAACAGCTGAAGTCTACAAACAGAAGCTTGCTACCTAGAGTCTCCTTCTGACAATTGAAAGATAGTTGGTCAGTACCCTAAATCATGGTTGGTCATGGACCTATTTTTGATTCGGGTCATAGAGACTCCAGGTAGAAAAACAACTAGCAGGGGGAAGAACTTAAATCTACCAAAAGCGCTTGTCTAGATGCATGCTAGGGAGTGCATGTTGACCCCTGATAATAAGCTCCCACTCAGCAACCTCCACTAGAAGAAAGGATTCCCCCCTAAAAAGGCCCCCCTGCACAAGAGGGGGTTTTATCAATCAGGGGTCAGCATTAGCAGAGAGGGATGCTATGCCCCAATCTTCTCATGTGAGGAAAGCAAAGAAGTGTCGTGTCGTTCTGTTCAATCAGGATCTAAAGATTCCTTCATCGCTTTGCGCACAAATATTGTTAGAGAAGGCTTCAGAGAACAGGGAGGGCACAGCTGTTCTTTAGGGAGGGCCCTCGAAACATTACCACCAGACTTTGTGATTCTTGCCCGTTTGTTTCTGTTTGGGACTTCGTTTTCAAGAATTGCGACCAGCAAAGAGTAGTGCAAACTTACACAACCCCGGCAAAGAGTTAACAGTTCAAAGGCCTTTGATTGCGACACCCATGAAGCAAAACCTTTCTTGAGGGTCCAATCGCCGGCCGTATGAAATCGGGCTGGGAGAGTTGAGTTCATTTCCAAGGTCCAAGACAAGTTGGAGGCGATGAACGTGAGGCGTGGAACTCTGATCGGTGTGTTGGCGCGAGAGCCAGGGAATGAGAGATCGAGTCCGGGTGTTGGTTGAATGAACCGTTTGGGGGATTCCCGAGTAGAGGAAACCATCTTTTTTGTTTTTTCCCGGGGTCATCCCATTTCTCATTCCCTGCATCTCTCGAACCAGCAAGTTGTTCACTTCACAGGCTGGAAGAGCAAGCGGCAGTTCAATCCACCAAACCCTCTGGCCCGATGAAACACGTTGTTTCTGCTTTGCAGCACTCGTGGTCGCAGAGGGCGCCAGCAATCATAGAGTTTGTGTTCGGCTGGGAATACTGGATGTTGTGGGATTGTGATGGCTCCCATAAAAACCAAGCCACCACAAAGGACCTGCGACGCAACAAGGATGTGTACACATCGGAAGCATCTGCACTTGATGAAGGAAGCAACTGCAAGAAAGTGGATTGAGGACCCCCCCCCCCGAATTTCCAGTGTGCTCCAAGCTCGGATCGCTGTTTACCCGGTCCAAAAGGTGTGGGCGCGCCCCAACTTTGTGCCCGTGGGCTCTCACTTGTTGAGTTTTTTTGTTTTGGAAGACCACATTTAAGTGGCAAAATTGTAAGATGTTGTTACTTTTTGTCCGGGGGTTGGACCATTTTCGTGGTAAATGTTTATGAGGTGTGGTTACTTTTTTCGGGGGGTTGGACCATTTTCGTGGTAAATGTTTATGAGGTGTGGTTACTTTTTTCGGGGGGTTGGACCATTGTGGTGGTAAAAATTGTAAGGTTTGGTTGCCTTTTTTTGGGGGGATTTGGACCATGTTAGTGGTAAATTATAAGGTTTAGTCTTTTTTGGGGGGGTTGGACCATTTTGGTGATAAATTATAATGTTGGTTGACTTTTTTCGGGCCATCGGCTCGGAAAGTGAATGATTCGGAGGGTCTAGCCGGAAACTCGATCCGGGGGTCGGCCATCGCCGCAGGTGGCGCGGCCTGAAAGATGGCGAAAAGCCGGTGGTTGAGGTGCGAAGCTTAGCATATTCTAAACTGTCGGAAAAAAATGAATTAAGCAACTCACCGAAGTGAACTCACCGGTGGAAGCTAAGCTTAACTTCGGAGAGGCAGGCAGATAAGGGTTGCTGTATAACACCCTGGCAATACACCCACTGGGTATTGACCCCATTTAGGTACATTTCCGGATAAGACCGTTTTATTTTGAACCACTCTGGGGCATTTCCCAAGGATCCCAGGGTGTAATACAAAAACCCTCAGATAGATGCTTCCGCTGTGCGCGTCACTCTCTTTATGCCTAGAGTCTCCTTCTGACCCTTTGCTGTAAAAATGGTTGGTCATTACCCTAAATATTGAGGTCATGGACCTATTTGTGATTCGGGTCATGGAGACTCCAGGTACCTGAACCCCCAAGAATCCAACTTAAAAAAGGGTTATAGCAACCAAAAACTATGGTTGGTGAATGTCATGTCTTCTGTAAATTTGAGGGTGCAGATATTTGGCAACGGATCTTTGGACTGAACAACTTGTTGGCTCAAACAGGGGATTCCAGCCACGAAAAGTAAAAACAAAAAGGCTTTGAGGAGTCCCTTGGAAGCTTGCGATCGCTGAAGCAAGGGATGTGTTAGAGCTACCTGGAGTCTCCATGACCCTTTACAAATAGGTCCATGACCCCTTTATTTAGGGTAATGACCAACCATTTTTTTTGGGTCATGGAGACTCCAGGTAGGGAACGGGGTGAACTTCCTGGAGGACAGGTCTCGAAAGCACATCAATTGCCCTGGATATTTTTGCAGTTCAACGTTCGGCATTTGAATCAGCCTTGGACCACCAAGGCAACACGTATGCGCTTTGGACAACTTGTTTGGATCCAAATGAACACTTCAGAGCATTTGGTGGATCTCTGGACCCGGCAAATAGTCTAGCTCTTAGTTTCCTCAGAAGTAGAAACCGGCCAGATCCGGCCAGATTGGGCCCGTTCGGACGCTTCACGCTTGGCGTATAAAGCAACAGCCATATACATTGCTACTTCACCAACCAGGGCTTCATGCGAGGTTTTTATATATGGACTCGCATTTTCAGCCTATGAAAAGACGCAAGAGACAATCAGAGCGCGCTTTTTTTCCACGCCTTTTTTTTTTCCGGGAGCGCGTGTGTTACTGTGTTTGTTCAAGCACCCAAAAAAGTCGGGAGTGGAATTCTCGCATCTTGCGGTTTGAGGCATCACCTTGTGCTGTTTACGCTTCCTGAGGAAGCCTGACGCTTAGCTCGAAAGGAACAGGATCATTCTCGGCCCTTTCAAAGCTGCGCCTGGTAATTGCCTCAACTGTGTTAGTTTTCACTACCTGGAGTCTCCTTCTGACCCTTTAAGAATGGTTGGTCATTACCCTAAATATTGAGGTCATGGACCAATCTTTTAAGGGTCATGGAGACTCCAGGTAGAGAGAAACGTGGAGATCATTTGTTGGTTGTTGTCCATTAGGGCTCAGGCTGATGTTCTGCTTGCACCCCTTCAGCATTTGCAGGGCTGTGTTGTACATCCGGATCTTAGTAAATAAACCTGGTAGAAGAGGCGATATCGAAGGATTGAACGCTGTGGCTTGGCTAAAGTGTTTTCATGACCAGCTGTCGCAGCTCTCCCGAGGACCCAAATGGCCCGCACTTCCAGAGATATATGGATCTGCACATGATCCTCGACTGGACATACGCGCAGAAATGCATTGTGAGATGAAGACCTACTTGGGGTCAGTGGAGATGATTATGTTCTCGACTAGGAATTTGGACAATCCTCATAGTTCTCTGAAGGGAGCCATGACCGTCGCACAGAGAAGCTTGGTGCATGCCGTGGTCATGATGCTGGGAACAAGTATTGCCGCCCGTTGAACATCCACAGGCAATGTGTCCAAGCCTTCTTTTTACCTGAGATTTGCCATGGGGACATTTGGGTCATGCATTTTGGTCAGCCGGGCGTTAGGGTGTCCTTTTTAGGTTAGTTTGGTTCAACATAGATGGGTTCCACTGGTTTGAATGGCGGTTATCTCATTTACCAGGGCCATCTATTTTTCCAAAAGGCCACCTATGGTCAACGGAGTTTGAACCACTTGGATCCTCAATTGGGATAAACCTAGAGTCTCCATTACCCTTTAAAAATGGGGTCATTGCCCTAAATAATGGGGTCATGGACCTATTTTTAAAGGGTCACGGAGACTCTAGGAAGTCAGTTTGGACATGGATTCTGGTAGATAAATTTACATCTCGATAATTTACCTCCCGCTTACCTAAGCTCTGGTCCACGATTCCCCCGAATCCGATGATACATTGGGCCGCTAAAAGAATCGCCTTCAGCTGATGTAGAGGCGCCCCCTTGTAAAGCTGTTGTTGTTTTCAGGGATCCTGTCAAGCGGTTCTCCTCATAGGGGTCCCTGAAAATGCTTGCCCTTTGACATCAACCAAGAAGGGCCCACAAATCTTTGAGAGGAGGGCTGGACAAACCCCGACAGACTTCGAAAAACCACGACGGGAAGCCTTCAGGACAAGGCATCAAGGAAGCCTTTAGCGCTTCTGTTCGGGGATTTAGCCCTGCCTGGAGTCATGACCCGAATCAAAAATAGGTCCATGACCAACCATTATTTAGGGTAATGACCAACCATTTTTTGTAGTGGTTAGAAGGAGACTCCAGGTGCCTCTTTGGAGAGACCCCCACTTGACACACCCGAGGAGCCTCGTGTCCAGCGTCTTGGACGAGGAGAAGCCAGACGTCATTTTGGCGGACTACGTGGGGGGCGCCGCGATGCTTTGCGCCAGGGAGAAGGCAATCCGGCGCATTGGGACTCACTCCCTGAGTTGGACTGTACCTAGAGTCTCCATGACCCTTGAAAAATGGTCTCCAGGACTCCAGGTAGTCACTTTTTTGGTTTGGACCACTTAGTGGTCGGTATACCGGTAAGTTTGAAACAATTGGACTTGTGTTGGTGCATCCACTCAGGAAGTGAGTTGGAGCCGGGGGTTCGTGGCATGCGGATTCACATGGAACCCATTTGGCCATGAATTCTATTAGGGGACTCCCTGAAAGCAGCGGACATGGATCCTCACCAACATGCTAAACATGCTGTCCACCAGAGGGTCGCTAGTTAAGATTCATACCCGCTGGGTGTGTCTAAAATGGGGTGGGGAACCCCAACCTGGTGGTTTTCCGTTTGACTTGCCTTGGTCAACGGAAGTTGAGAAGGAACTTCCGTGGTACGGCAACTAACTGAAAGCTGGAAGAGAAGATACTGATACTGATGCTAATCTGTTCACGCGCCAAAAAAAAGCCGCGTACGCACGCGGCGGGATGGTTGAAAGCATTTTTTGCTAATCACAACGCCTGCCATTGCGGAGCGCGTTCGGATCACTCCGGAGCAGCCTCAGCGCTCTGGGAGGTTTGGGCCAACATGCGTGGTCCTTGGCAAGGTCGCCAGAGTGAGAGGTGGAAAGCGAGATTCAGCGGATCAAAGGACGGAAAGACAAAGCTAGAAATAAACAGCTGACCCGCCCGCGCTCCGCGCGTGAGAGAGAGGGACGGGAAAGAGAATCAGAAAGAAGAAAGAGAACAAGGAAATAAACAGAGAAAGAGGAACAAGAGAAAGAAGAAGAGGCAGGGAAAGAAGAGAGAGAAACACAAATTGAAAGAAAAGAGAGAGAGAGAGACAGAGAGAAAGAAGGGAGGGACGAGAGAAAGAAGAGAGAAAGAGACAATCAAGAGAGACAAAGAAGAAAAGCATACAGAGACAAAAAGGCAAAAGAGAAAGAGGAAGAGGCAAAGAAAAAAATGAACCCCCGGCTTCGCCGGCCCGCTCTACTTGTAGTGGGGATGTTGAAGGGGAAGAACCGGAAGTTTGTCAAAATAGACATCGCTCCATTTCCCAAAAGTGGCAAGGGTTTCATTTAGTTTTGAGAGGGTTTGAGTCATTGGAGCGCTATTGAAGCCGTTAAAAGGCTTTCACGTTTCACGCGGCATAGCTTTTGAGATGGTTGGCGCACATCAAGCACACCTAAATGACGCCCACCAGAGTCTCAGAGTGTCCCCGGTTATTTTCACCCCCAAGTACAGTTGGTTTTTGTTCGCCTTTGGTTTAAAGGTGATGTTTAATCAACCCCAGTTTATTCATATGGCGGTGTTTTCCCCTGATTGTAGTGGTTGGACTCAGACCGCTTTTGGAGGGGCCAAAAACCCCGCCTATGAGACTAAACTGGGGCTGATGACAGATGGTCTCAGACTACCTTTGGACTCAGACTACTTTTGGAGGGGCCAAAAACCACCCCCCTATTTCTTAACTGGGGTTGATGGCGGTGGCTAAAAAATGAGCGTAACCCCAGCTGCACCTTGATGACAAATGGGGTCAAGCTTCGGCCAACTGAAAATCTAGGGGCACCTTCCCCATTATTTCCATGGATCCTTCTTTTCAGGAAACCACCCAAGACCCAGGGGAAACAGATCCGGTTTTTGAGAAAAAGAAGGATGGTTGAAAAGAATGGACAAGGAATCAACCCCTAGAAGCATGGTTGCTTTTGCTTTGACACCGGCCAAAAGCTGGTCCCCCAAAAAGAGGAGCACACCATTTTGGGTTCCCTGAAATTGAGGACATTCGCCCAAGCCTTTTTTTTATAGGGGTTCTTGACAATTTTCCTGCAGAACTTCCTGTAGTTAGTTTGTTTGAAAAGGAGAATCAACTCCTAGAGTCTCCACAACCCTTTAAAAATGGTTGGTCATTGCCCTAAATCATGGTTGGTCATGGACCTATTTTTGATGAACGTATCAGAAGGAAACTCCAGGTAGAGAAAAGCCACCCTGGGTTTCATCCACCAAATCAAAGGGGGCATGGAACCACCATGATTTACCCAGCTAGGTCCCCAGTGCCCTTTTGCCGTTTCTTTTTTGGGGGAGGATTTCCCTGAAGAAAAGCCACCTTTGAAGCTCAGAGGCCATCCCTCTGGTGGTGAACGCGGCTCTGCCCACCACGCTGGTGGCCAGAAGCTCGACACCCCCCGTGAGTTTTGGCTTTTGAGGTTTGTTGATTCTACCTGGAATCTCCATGACCCGAAGCAAAAATAGGTCCATGACCCCAGTATTTTAGGTACGGACCCCCCGGGACCCCATTTTTTAGGGGTCATGGAGACTCCAGGTAGTGTTGTGTTTGGTTTCTTGATGGTTCTTGGTTTGTTCATTCTGAAGACTGGTTTTTGTCTGCTGGGGGGGGGGGGGGCTGCAAAAAAGAAACAGCAGTGTTTTGCCAAGCCATTCCGTGCGGGCTGGAAAGTGTGGGTGTCCATTTTACCAGCGAAAAGTCGGGATGTCCGAAAGTGTTGTTTTTTCATTCTTTCTTTTTTTTCCGAGAGCCCCCAGATGCTTTCTCTTTTCCTAACGAAAAGTTTCGGGATGTCCGAACAATCGACACACACAAAAGGGTCTGTCTCAACTCGAGCACCTGGCTGGTTGAGTTTCCCTCCCTCTAAACCATCTACCTGGAGTCTCCTTTTGACCCGTTCATCAAAAATAGGATTTAGGGTAATGACCACCCATGCTTAAAGGGTGATGGAGACTCTGGGTAAACAAGGGTCCCCATATTTTTGAGATAGCCATGCTGTGTCCAAATATGTGCAAGTTATTTATTACGAGCCCTTGATGGAGGGTCCACCTTGAGGATTCCTTGTGTCCGGTGAATGGATTTGCGAAAGGAGAAGGCAAGCCCAAATCAAGGATCTCCTAATGCTTCATTTCAACTAGAATTGGAGCTCGCAGCTTTGTGGTTGGACACCCCCGGAAAATTGGACACCCCCGGTTTGCAGCTATTCACCAAAGGAAAGGGACCGGGAACTCCACTAGTGTTTGCGATGTTGCAGTGTGCACTTGAGGCATGGTGAAAACAACTCGGCTAGCATGTTTGGCATGGTTACAATCTCAAACAAGTGTGACGCACGGATGTGGTTTAGTAAGAGTGGGTCACCTAATACCCAAAAGAGAGCTACTAATAATGTAAACATCATTTAAAAGAACGAGTTGAGTATAACAAAGCCAACCCCACCATGGTACCTTGAAAAGCTCACTCCCCCACTTCCTGGACGTTAAGCTTTTCGGGAAGGCCATGTTAGTGGTAAATTTGAAATGTCTGGTTCAATTCTTGTTTGAAGACCATGTTAGTCGTAAATTTGAACTGTCCGGTTAACTTAATACTTTTTTGCATATCCATCCACTCAATCAATTGGGTTTGTGTCGGCGCTGTTGACTTCCAAGCTGCCCAGTTGAGCTCGAGCGCGTCCTAGGAATGACCACCCTCTTGCGGATTCCCTTGGTGAAGCGCTTTGTGACATGGATGCAGCCTGACGTGGAGCACCCCTTGACCTTCATCAAGGAGGCCGACTTCGGATCAGATCGATATCCGCAGGATCCCAAAGCAGTCCCTGTTCCCCCCAAAGGGAATCACTACCTAGAGTCTCCATCACCCTTACAAGATGGGGTCATTACCCTAATTAATGGGGGGCATGGACCTATCATGGAGACTCCAGGTAAATGGGGATCTCGTTTTCGGAGTTGGTGCCCTTGTCGGTTGGTTTTACAGGGCAACCAAAAGCAAAGCCGGTTTTGCAGCGGGTCCCGACACGCCGAAGAAACGGGAGGTTGCCATGCACCAGCCAGATTTAAGTCACTGCTCATCTACTGTCTACTGTGGATGGACAAAATCCTACACCACTTTGAAACCACGGTAAAAACCATTGTTTGTTGGTCATTGGCATTGCTGAAGGCTACTACTGTTTGGACATGCCTTAACTTTGTGGATTGGTCCAAGTAAGGTGGAACCCAAAATGGTTTGGGCAGTTCTGTCAACATCATCCCAGCAAAAGGAACATATTTTAACATGGCCAAGCGGTGTCGGCCCCCCTTTTGTTGGCCCGAAAGCATTTCATGCAAAGCGAAACGCGCCTTCGAAGCGTGCCAGTACTTCCATGTTCAGGGGACAGCTCGCGTTCTGATGCAATTTTACGATCGCTTGCATTGGTGTCCTGTAGACATTGGTTAGCAAATTCTGCTCGGGAGCGTAGGCCGCACTTTGAACGTATCATTGCTTGATGTTGTGTTTCCCATGTTAGGCCGATGTTCAAAGCATAAGATTCCCGTTTGGGACCTTGTCGTGATGTGCTGCCTTTTGAAAAAGCCTCAGCATCCGGGTGGTTCACATCCCTCTAAGCTGCCCGCTTTAGGCATCCCTCACATTATTGTTGATCCTTGCTTCCAGCTAGTTCTCTGTTTTGTTTTGTTTGTTTTCAATTGAGCGGCGTCCCAAACCTGCGTGTACAGGTTTTGTAAGAATCGTGTCACATCGACCTGTCCGCAAGAAAAGACTCCACGCGCGTAAGGTGGCGTAAGCAGCTGGCGTAAGCAACACCTCCACATGTGTCGCGCAACGGAAACCTCCGCGCGTGTAAGGTGGCGTAAGCCAGGGGCGCAAGCAACATGATACAACATAGCAAATCATGACAAGTTTATGACGTGGCTCAGTTGGTTTGAAAGTGTGTTGAAGCATGTTGAGTTTTGTTTTTGGTCTTTTTTTGTGTCTTGCCTTGTGTTTGCTGGATGTGTTTTTGGGTGCTGGACTTTTTAGTTGTTTGATTTGGCGTCTTGTATTTTGTTTCTCCGATGCTTTTTTGGTGCAGGTTTCGGTGCCCGTGTGCCGAAACACCCTGACCATCATCAATAGCTGCACGGCCCTGGACGGCTGTGGCAAGGTGCCTGCCAACTTCTTCCTCTCAGGAGCTCCGATGGAGGTTACTACTGTGGATGGACGAAATCCTGCACCACCTAAGAAGCTCTGGCATGATGATTCCTCTGTTAATACCAACCAACAATGGCTTCCCATGGTCGCAAGGTGATGCAGGATTTCGTCCATCCACAGTAGGTCTCCCAGTAGTGCCCTTTCTCACCAACTTTTTTGTGGGAGGGTTCCGCTACTATTTCATTCAACGCTGAGCGAGCGGACTCGGCTCCTTGGGCATCTGGTAATCTGGTGAAACACAACTAACGACCGAGGCACCACATGCAAGAACCCTGCAAGAGACTCCGAAGCCTCCTGATGGACCACGAGTGAAAATTCTGAAAAGACTACAGAAAAAAGGGTACCCTTGTTCAGTCCTCTCTACTGGAGGACCTAGGTTACAATTTGCAGGGGATCTGAGGACAGTTCAGGGTTGAAACCAGAGCGTCTGTTGGTATCTAGGTTTGGGAATCGATTCATTCCAGGGTTTCTGAGCGGTGGTGCGAAATGGATTCTGTCCAAGTATGATGGGTTTGCCGACGGAAGGTGTAGTTGAAGGAATCTTCTCTACCAGGTGACTTCCCATGACAACCACAACAAGCAAAACACGACCATGGCTGCCCCCCCCACACATGTGGGGTTGATCAAAAGGTCCTTTACATGGGATGGCCATTGGAGAAAACCGCTCAACAACATGATATGTCCCATTATATGGCCAAAGCTACCGGGCCTTGGGATGCCTTCGGTTTTGCGGTGATTCGATTCCCAGTACAGGCCACCAAGCAACCAGCCTAGCCAGAAGGACAACTGCGAAGGTAGCCCCTGCTATGGCGGAACTCTGGGATCTAAGTGCCAATGCCTAATGTTGACCCCGGATGAATAAACCCCTGTTTATCAATATGGGGGTGTTCCCCTCCAAAAGTGATAAATCCCCACTAAAACCGGGGACACCCCCATATTAATAAGCAGGGGTTTATTCATCCGGGGTCAACATTGGAATGGTACCTGCCAACAGCCATGCTATGTTCAACGACGGAGAAAGCGTCTTTGGGGAACGAGCACTTTTTGGATTGGGCAAGAATAGTCGGCCGGAGCAGTTTTTCTCCGTGTCACAAATTTGTAACAATGGATGTGGAACTCCGACAAATTAAAAATAAAAGTTATAACGGTGGAAGGTCCAGGTTTTTTGTGATCCGCTGTGTGGTTTCCCAAGCTTGGCCTTTCTCGGAGTGGCAAATCCAAGAGGTGCAGCCCGACGGCGAGAAAGAACGCAAAAACACTTTTCGCTGCACTTGTTCAGGGTTCCTTTTGTTTTTTTTACTACCCCCAAGGTAGACGCAGAAACTCAGGGGTTTCCCTTTTGGGGAAATCAACCACTGGGTTTAAGTTGACTTTGGGGTAGTCAAAAAAGGAACCCAGCACTTGTTTTTTCTGCAAGCCCATCCGGGGATACGAGAAAAAAACTCGTGCAGTCTTTCGAGGCACTCGGCACGAGCTTCCGTTTTGTATCTTGGGACAAGGTGTTGAGGTCTTTCAGGTACCAAGATTCTGGGCGTGGCTCTAGAACCCCATTGCCACTTTGGAGCGTGTGGGGCTCAAATAGTGCAATGCTGGTGGCAAATCATGGGACATACTGTGGATGGACAAAATCCTGCACCACCCAATAAACCCTGGAATGATGATTCTCCTGCAAATACCAACAAACCATGGTTACCCATGGTTTCAAAGTGGTGCAGGATTTCGTCCATCCACAGTATCCTGGCCCTAGCTGAGATTTCTCTCTTTGAAGAAAGAACCACTAGTACTGTGGATGGACGAAATCCTGCACCACTTTGAAACCATGGGAAACCATTGTTTCTTGGTATTTACAGGGGAATCATCATTCTAGGGTTTCTTGGGTGGTGCGAAATGGATTTCGTCCATCCACTAGTATGGCAGTCGTTGCCTGTGTGCTCTTTTCCATGGCCTGCTTTATTAAGTCGCCTTCCTTCAACATGGCTTGAGTCAAGGCAGCACCAAGGGCCAAAACCGCGTTGCCGCATATTAGGACCGCACCTGGAGTCTCCTTCTGACCCTTTAATGAAAAATAAGTCCATGACCAACCACCATTTAGGGCAATGACCAACCATTTTCAACTGGTCAGAAGGAGACTCCAGACTCCAGGTACCACAAAAACGGACCCAAACCCAAAAAGTGGCCAAAGCCCATGAACGCCAAGGCGGGCTTTTTCACCGCGCCGGGTTTTCCTTCCAGTCGCCTTCGCTTCAGGACCCCTGGACGGCTTCGAATCCAGAAGCCTCGACTCGAATTCGGAGCTCATGGCCTTCTTGGAGAAGCTCGGACTTTGAAAGGGACAGGATGCCTAGAGCCTCGATTTTTGTTTTTTGAGGGATTTGTTTTTTGTTTTTTGAGGGTACTTACTAAGTTCGTTGGACATCCAAGTACCTGGAGTCTCCTTCTGACCCTTGAAAAATGGTTGGTCATTAGCCTAAAGAATGGTTGGTCATGGACCTATTTTTAAAGGGTCATGGAGACTCCAGGTAGAGCTTTTTTTTGGTGGTTTGGCTATGGGTGTCGTCTAATGGGGCTTGGCCAATCCATGGAAGCGAGCGGAAAAGACAACCTGGACCTCAAACTACCTAGAGTCTCCACGACCCTTAAAAAATGGTTGGTCATTACCCAAAATAATGGTTGGTCATGGACCCATTTTCAAAGGGTCATGGAGACTCCAGGTAGAGTTTTTTGGGGTGGTTTTTCAGGGAAGCCGACATGAAACTAACCATTGTTTGGGTACCCCTATTTGAAGGCGCACAGGTATACCCATTGTATAAGGCCCTGTCAGTCTGTTGGAGGTAGCAGCCCTGTGTTTCAAAGACCATTTTCGGGGAATTTCCAGGCGTGGAGGCATAACACGATTGGACAAGCAACATGAGCTCCTTGTGCAAGGCTGACATTCTTATATGATCATGGCTGCCATTCTTGCCAAAAAGAAGACCCTGACCCTCAACCAGGTCGAAAAAGGATCCTACACAGGTCGGGGGAAGGAAAAAACAAAAAGCAAAAACATCCCACAGCTGCACATCCCATCCCAGAGATTGTCTTGACTGTGTACTTTAGGTTTCCGCTTCCAGTTCCCCCCCCTCCAACAGGGTCCATGGCTCGGCCGTTTTTTTTCTTCCCCTTCTTGTTTTTCCATGGTTTTCCCGCTTTTTCTTCTTCTCCATATATATATATATATATGTTTGTGCTGTCTATTGAACCGTTTTTCTTTTAATGTTTGTGCTGTCCATTGAACCGTTTTTAGTTTAATGTTTGTGCTGTCCATTGAACCGTTGGGCTGGGTGCTTTTCTTTTTGGTTGTCTCTTCAGCCTGTGAGTCAACATGTCCATTCCGTTTCTTCCAACGACTTTCAGGTGTTCCTAGAGTCTTCATGACCCTTTAAAAACGGGGTCATTACCCTTTTTGAGAAGACCATCTTTTTGCCATGACTTTCGTTCGGGGTTTCCCAAAAGAAAACCTCTGATTTGCGGGGTTCCGTTTTGAGACAAAGCCAAGAGTTCGTAAACTTTGGCCTCTCTCAGTGAGGCTTTCCTTGTTGGGGTTCCTGTGAGGAAGGCGAAGCGCGCAGAGAAGCCAATCTGCCGCTGGGAGAAGCAGTCGCTACCGTTGTTTACGACATCTGTGTGATTGTGTCTGTGTGTGTGTTGTTTTTTGAAGGAAGACTTTGTTGGGTTGTGTTTAAAGAGAAATGAAGGGGAAACCACTTGTTTGGTTCATCTATTTTGAGACAAACTCATTTGCTCACGGCTTTTGAAGTTGAACACGTTGGGTTTGTTGGTTGTCTCCAACTTTTGCGTTGTAGGTTTGGTTCACTTTGCTTTTGGGTTGATGGGTGTTGGGTTGCCACTTTCTGCACCAAGGGATTCTTGGTTGCGTGAGTAAAAGTAGTTCGGGCCAGTGAAAGGTATCACTTGGCTGGCATGTCCAATGTGGTCCATCTTTCGTCAAGTTGCAACCCTCCTTGATTCAGGTGACCCTGAATTGGTGATTTGGAGTGAATTGGTGAATTGGTGACCCTGAGGTTAGAAACTGGTGGATTCCACTGGTTTAGATTGGTTTTATGCCATCCATTTACCACAGAGACACAGGCAACAGGTCATGCGGGCAGGTGAGAGATTGTTCCCTGACGTCACTGACTGATCTCGGCTTTTGGAGCCTTCGAGATCTGAGGCCACAGGTTGGCACAGCTGTGATACTGATCTATAGGGCCCCCAGTACTACCCCCAGAACTAGTTCCCTTTTTAGTTTTTTTGGGGCCCCTTTGTTTTCTTCTAACCAGGCGAAAAATAATAATAGTTTTTTGCAGGGGTCCCACTTCCAGCCAAGAGTAGTGCCCTTTCCGCCCCTTTTTTGGTTGAGAGGAATCCCCCCTACTATAATAGACAAAACTGAAACAAGTAGCGGTACCGTTATTCTACCCTCTCAAATCTGGAGGACCTAGTGATGGAATCCCTAAGGCGGGGTGGAAGGGGGGCGGCAAGTTGAGAGCCCCTTAGGGTTCCTTAGGGTTCCTTAGGGTTTCTCAGGGTTCCTTAGGGTTTCTTAGGGTTTCTTAGGGTTTCTTAGGAAGCCTCAGGAATTCCACCCTTCTTCCCCAGTTGACACATCCCCTGTTCCCCTTTCAAGGGAAAAGGTGGGTCTTGTTGGATAGTTCGGTGGGGAAACCTGCAAAAACATGGCTACAGCTTGGCCTAGCAGGCTGCATCACAAAGGGTGTTTTTCAACAGGAGATTCCTCGAAGCAGGATGTTTGTTAGGATTAAGGCTCATGACACGTGTTGTTTTGTTCTCTGTTTTGAAGTCCGCAATTTCAAGAAACATGTTCTTTGATGTCATGTGGGGGCGTCTTATTTTGCAGTACCCCTAAAATGGAGGGTGCTCCTGTTGGTTTCCCTTCAAACCAAACCGCTTTGGGGTACCCTCAAAAAAAAGATGAGCCCATGTCTTGACTGCTATTGGGTTGGATCTTCAGACTTTAACTTTGTGGATTCCCTTCATATGTCATTTGAACCAGCAAACAGTTGAACACTTTTTGCTAGGGGATCTACAGCGAACCATGGCTTTTTCCGCCAAAAAGAAGGGACACCTCCATTTACAAGGCAATGTTCAGGTGTATAATGTAAGGATTAATTTGGGGTACCCTCAAAAAGCAATGAGCCCATGTCTCTACTGCTATTGGGTTGGATCTTTAGACTTGGGAAATAAAGGTGTTTTCCACTAAACCCCAAAAAAGTGAATCTTTTCGCAGGGGGGTTCAACAGCACCCAAGATGTAAACGTTCACGTGGTGTTTAGTCTAAGGCTACATCACCACCGGGAGCCTCATGCAGCTCACCGAAGAGCCCCTCGCATGACTTGCCGCAAGTTCGAGTCATCAGGTTACTTCCATTTGCTGAAATGAATATGTTTTATATATATACATACATACATATAATATATATATTTATATGTGTGTGTTCCCGTTTTGGTTTTAAAGGGGATCGTTTTTTACAATATATTCTCATTGTTTCCAGGGAGTATAAAAGCAAATGGAAGGTTAAACCTGGCATCTCAAAGGCCTTCGTTTGTTCGGTCCTCTTTGGGGTCTCCCCTGATCGGGGTTCCATATTTACTTGCATGGGAGTAGTGGTTCCAAGAATTTAGTGGTTGCACGGATTAGTTGCATTACCCTTCATTTGTTGAGGACCACGCAATATTCATAGCCTGTGTGGACACATTAGCTATCCTAGCTGATGATGAACTACTGTCCTACCCGGGGTAGGCATCATCTTGGGACCCCCTGTTTTTGGGCTTCCATGTTTATTCTTTCGGAGGGAACGCCGACCACGCCAAACAAATCAGCGTAAAATGAGGCCCTGGCCGACCAAGATGTCAAGCATCAGGCCAGAGGTCAGCACATTCAAGAGCACACCAGTAGCTCAAAGGTTCAGCACACATGCCAGAGGTCAACCCCAGTGCTGCGTGGTGGATGTGATACGACGGGTAGCCCACCTCGCTTTCAGCAACTGGCAAGCACCCAACAATGCGCATTGATTTCTCTCTCAGGATGCCAGCAGCAGACGAACAGGGCAGTCGGTGTTTTCAAGGACTCTTGGCCTCCCATCATGGTTATGGGTGAGAATTTGTCACCACCAAGAGTTGGAACGCGGGTTTTCCATGTTTCCATTTACCGATCGGGCAACCCATTTTGGGGTTACCCTAGTTTTTATCCAGCCCAATAGATGACCGCACCAAAACATTGGAAACTGCAGCACGGCCATGACTTGGACGCTGAAGATTGAGGGCGGTTTGCGCTCCTGAATGTTTATGTGCATGGAAACAATGATGTGCAGTCTCCCTTTGTTGGTTGCAAATGAGAGCCCACGCCACAGAGAATGCTTTCGCTACCAGGTCGTATTTCGAATGTATTGTTTGTTGTTTTCTGAAAAGGGAACACCGCACAAGGCCTGGTTTGGAGTGTGCCTTTGTTTGAGTTTGTGTCCTTGCTTGCTTGCTTGTCCATTTGTCCGACTGCTTGTTTTGCAGCGTGTCCTGCGTGCTCGTTTGTGTAAGATGCCTGGCTGAGATTGTGTTCGGAAGCTCAAGCTTGAGCATCTTTACGGGCCAGGAAGCCTGGCATCATATATGGGCGAGTCTCTATTTTCTTTTTTCGGAATCGGACCCCCCCAAAAAAATATGAGAAACAATTAAACACCTAGAATCAGGTAGTTTTCATTTTGGGCTTCTCTTTAAAGCCACCTGAACCCCTCACAAATTCCTTTAAAGATGAGTTATAGCCCCAAAATTACGGGGCGAATTCCCTTTTCGTATGCATAGTTGGAGGGTCCAGGCACCCAAAAAGCTCCACACAAATTCCTCGATCCTCCCATCATCCGACCCCCCGCCTGTCCTGCGGCGGCTTCGGCTGCTTCGCCACGTGCGAGGCAAGTGCTAGCCCTCTACGAAGGCTTCGCTTCCCAGGAGGTTTGGGCGATTTGGTCCTTGCAGCTTGGAACCAAGCGGGGGATCGTCGAAAACCGCGCCGTCTCCCTTTCCCAGAGGATGTTTTTGGGTACCTGAGGATGGCTTTTGGGGTACAAAGGGGTCAGAGGGTCGGTTCTTTGGTACCTTATGAGGATGGCTGAAAACGGGGGTACAAAGGGGTCGTTCAGTACCTCCTTAGAAGGTACCAAGGACCCTCTGGGTTTAATTTCCCTTCTAGGTCCGCCAGTAGTGCCCTTTTTAACCCCCTTTTTGGTTGGGAGCGTTCTCCTACTAAAATAGACGTCCAGAAAAAGTAACGGTACCCTTATTCTAAGCTGTCTACTGGAGGACCTAGTGTCGGTTCCGAGCCATTTCCCTTCAAAGGAACCAGCCGCGGCTCTTCCACCCCCAAGCCATGGGGTATGCCAGAAGCCGCTGTTGTTTTGGCATGTCTTGCTTTGTGTGTTTTGTGTTTTTGGTTTTGTTCATTTTTGGGTTGGGCTTCAAAAAGCAGACGGTGGTTTGCCAAGCCATGCAAAGTGGATCGATCGTTTCAAGGGAAGCCACTCGTAAATTGGTCAACTTCTCATTCGAGGAAATCCCGTGACCCCTATATACCCCCTATATAGTGGCGATATAACAGTTGTTGTACTAGCTAACAGTACCCGGGGGGGGGACGTTTCCGGAAACCCGAAGCTCCAACCAAACATCCATTGACATGCCCTAGGCTTCTGATGTGACCATGAGAAGTGTACTGAGGTGTTGCTTTTCTCCCGAAAGTTTTGTATGTAGCCCAACCAAAACATCACCAGAGAAAGGTCATTCCACAACAAGCTTTCCGTTACAGCGATTGGTTTTGAACACAGTCGTGGTTAGCGAACCCTCTCAAGACATCACTTGTAGACATACCCGTGTGGGACTTGGGCGCTTTGTTGCGACCCGTGACCCGTGGCCCATCGACTCACGGCCATGTCAAGAAAATCCCTCTGTCAAATTCCGCGTCATTGTCTCAGCAGGAATTACCCTCCCATGCCGGGTTGCCAGCTTAAGGCTGTTACCCGAGAACACGCCAGGCTGTTGCCCAGAAGGCTGCAACCCATCAGGCATGGCCTGAAATAGGGCTTGCAAAGCTGTTGGTTAGGATGATCTCCTGCTTGTTCCAAGTTGTTAAGCAACAGGAGATCCTTTTTTTAATGGGGAAAGAAGCCAGACACAATTCCAACTGTCCCATGTCCTTTCGTGCTTGAAAGCTGCAGTAGTTTTGTTGGGAGGCCGTGCTCGCCTGATCAACATCTCTGATTGGGAATGAGGCATATTTCTAGGGGTTGATTCCTTGTCCATTCTTTTCAAGCATCGTTCTTTTCAACCACCGGATCTGTTTCCCTGGGTTTTTGATGAAGGATCCCTGAGAAGAGTCAGTTCCCCGGAAAGAATGGAATGGAAGGTATCCTTAGAATATTATTTTTTGCACCCTTATTGGCAGCGGTCCCCTCTGGTGGCTGTCCGACCCAGGAAGAAGGACAAGCAGAGCTTCCTCCCGGAAGGCCCTGAGCGTGAGCGATTCTTCGTGTCCGGCTGGATGCCGCAGGCAGAGATCATGGACCTCAAGGAGCCGTTGGGGCGTCGACAAATATATATATATATATATAATTATTCGGCTCACGGCTCCGATTCTCTCTGCCTGGAGTCTCCTTCTGACCCGAATCAAAATAGGTTCATCACCAACCATGACTTTGGGGTAATGACCAACCATTTTTAAAGGGTCATGGAGACTCTAGGTGTGTACCTTGGAGTCTCCTTCTGACCCGAAACAAAAATGACATATTTTGATTCGGGTCATGGAGAATTCAGGTCTGCGTTTTGTTTGGTTTTTTCTCCGCGGCTGAGTAGCCTTTCCACGTTGGTTTGAGGGAAAAACATAAAGGGGAAGAGCACGACTCTGGAAGTCCCCCTTAATGATTGATCGACACATGCCCAATATGATCCATAGGGAAGACCCCTCGAAAAGGACGGGTGGACACAAAATCCAATGTAGATGATGTCCACGGACTTATCCTTAAACTAAGATACATGGCTGTGGGTCAAAACCAATGGGATCCCATTTTGGGGTAGGTGCACCACCCATTTTAATCTATTTTAGTGGGGATTGGGATGTTCACTGGGGGTACGGGCTTTTGAAACATGTCCACGTGGCAGTGTTTTGTGAGGGCTATGTAACAGAGCCGCGGTGAACATTTGTTTGCATACCTCGTTACATACCTTGGACACCATTCTCAGTAAATCTTTGCTCTGGCAGCAAGTGAGAGACATGTCCTTAGAGAACCGAATGTTCCGTTTGTCCTAGCTAACCCCCCCCCTGATTTGAAGTTGGCGGGGCTGGTAACGTTTAAGCCCTAGCAACTTCAAATCAAGGTGTGGTGGCTATGACCAACGCAGTTTGCCATAAACCCCTTTGCGAGAGTCTCAGAGAGCCGTATCCATGAAGCTGAGGCTCACCTGCGAGGTGCCCCCAAGCCCATGGAAAAACACGGCTGACTGTGTCACACGGACGAGCGAGGCTCACCAAAAGGAAAGGAAGGAAAACACGGTCAGAGTCTTGTTCGCGCCTTAAAACGATGAAAGCTAGTTGCCCAGAATCTTATTCAGGGCTCCTTAAAAGATACATGTTGCCCATTTGAAACGTGGCTTTTTCCACCAAAATAAAGGGAAACCACCATGTACAAGGCAATGTTCAGTTGTATAATGTAAGGATTCCTGTTGTTCCTTATTCGCCTCGCGGGAATCGCCAGTGTGAGGTTGACTCTTAGTCATCAACCCCAGTTAACATGGGTCCCCTCCACACGTGGTCTGATTGCAACCTCTCAACCCACACACACCCTATGAATTCACTGGGTTTGTTCATATGGGGGTTGGGCACGATGTGTTTGCATAAATGAGACCTCAACCCCCCTTTTGGAGTAAAAGCCCGTACAAATGGTTATAGACGTTTGGCTCAGAGGCGGTTTAGCCACCCAATGGGGGTCCAGTAGCAGACAGCCGTGAGGAGCTGTCTATGGTTCTGACGCACTGCGGCTGGGGGGGGTCACTGGAGCGCCTTAGGCTGAAGCAAAAAACACAACAGGAAAGGGGGAGGGAGGGTTTCTCAGAATGAGCCACAATCAAAACCCGGGTACTTTGGTGCATTTTGCTTGGCTGTTAGGACTTTAACTTTTTGCCAACTAATGGGTTTTCCACTAAATACTAACAGTTAAACTTTTAGCAGGGGAGCAGAAAGCAACCGAGGGTAAATGAAGGTTAGTGAGGGAAAATTCCAACCATAAATTACCTGCGGATATCCCAACCACAAGGTTAGTAAGGCACACGAGACAGTCCTGCGTTCGGGTACCTTCCAACCATGCTTTCCAGGGATCCGACTCTTTCCACAAACCTCCAGAAACTGAGGGGGAACAGCGATTGTTTTTTCAATAGAACGATGGTTGAAAAGAATGGATGGAATCAACCCCTAGAAAAAGGGGGAGGGAGAGTTTCTCAAATGGGTTTGTCTCATACTGTGGATGGACGAAATCTATTTCGCACCAATTTGAAACCATGAAAAACCATGGTTTGTTGGTATTTGCAGGGGAATCATCATTCTAGGGTTTCTTGGGTGGTGCAGGATTTCGTCCATCCACAGTAGTTCTAGGGGTTGATTCCCCATTCTTTTCAACCATTGTTCTTTGCAAGAACAAGCTGTTTCCCCAGGGTTTTGGGTGGTTTTGTAGAAAGAAGGATGCCTGGAAAGAGTGGGGAAGGTACCCCTAGAATAGTACTCAAAGAGGGTGTTGGTTCCTTTTGGTTTCCCTTGAAGCAACCAAGAAGGAACACTCTCCAAAAAAAGGCAGACCCAAATGGGGCATGAGAAATGGTTTGTTTCCTTTTGGTTTCGCTTTGCCATCCAAAAAAGGGGTCCATTTGCAGACTCATGGACAAGTGACGATTTTGCAAGCACGAAGCCTAAAACCTAAATCCCATTTAAGAGAAGCCGGTTGCAAGACTCCAAGTGTCCGCCATTTCGTCACGTGGCATGTCGGCGAGAAGGCCAAACAAAATCGAGAAAAAAAGAAAAGAAAAGACAAACAAGAAAGAAAGAAACAAACACGTTTTGCAGTTGCCCGCGCACTTGGCATTTCAATCTTACACCGTTGTGAAGGACATTTGCCCTTGGCGCATCAGGCTCCCGAAAGACTAGTATCTGTTTAAAGAGTTTTTGCTTCTGGCTAGGGGCGGGTACGCAATTTAGGGCCTGCCTTGGTTGACGCAAAAGAAGTCCCAATCCTCCGTCCATCAACTGACGCTTTTCCAAATCCACAGGTGACCTCAAAGTCGAAGCTTGCATAATTGGAGGGTGAGGGTCATTCCCAAGAGTTCATCGCGTCAATCTTTGCTAGGACTTGGGTAAGTGCGCAGGGTGTTTTCTGATCCAAAAGGAAGTCCAACATCAGGTCAGTGACCAGTGGTAGGAAAAGCAATGTCCACGGGCTTACCTCTTAAAACACAACTTTTCTCAACTTTTCGGGGGTAACATGGGCTATATGTCTGTAAAAGATGAGAACTTCCCCGGGTGGCTTGGAGTTTTAAGGGGTCAGCCGGGTTTACCAATTTGGTTGCCCTGACTCAGTCGCTGCCAAGCGCGGAGGTGCATGATGGCCGGGAAGCCGGTGATTTGCTATCCCGGCTTTGGTGACCAGAATGCCAACGCTCAGATGCTGCAGAAGCTGGGCGTTGGGGTGGGCTCGGCGGCATATGCCGACTTCACAAGCGTGTCTTCCATTTGCCGCCAGTTGGTTTCGAAGGGAATCTGTCACTGCTGGATGTGGTTCTTGCATTTTTCCCCAGGTTGCTTAAGCAAATCGCAGTTGTGGTGAAACATGGGGATTTAGGTTGCCACTGTCTGTGATACCAAGGCAATCTCCATTCTTGGGACAAAGCAGTCATAGGAACGGTCCACTTTGGTGTCACTGTGACGGATACTGGTCACAACCAAGTGTAGATTCTAGCCTTTGGTTGGAAGCAAGGGCCGGCCAACATATGCTGGGGAAAACTGGAAACTTGAAGGTGGTTTTACCCGTTGTGCTGTTTTTTTTATTTGTTCTTTTTATTTGGGGGGGGAGTCCGGGGGGAGGATGAAAAGCTGCTTTGGTTTCCAATGCGTGGTTTGTGTTGTTGCGCATGCAATGTGTGTGTGTGTGTTAATATGTGGTGTGTGTGTGTGTGCTCGTGTTCGTGTTTGTGTTTGTGTGTGTGTGTGTGTCTCTGTCTGCTTGTGTGTCTGTGTTTGTGTCTGTGCTGTGTTTGTGTTTTGTCTGCGTCCATGTCTCTGTGCGTGTCGGTATGTGTTGGTCTGTGTCTGTGTGTGTGTGTCTGTGTATCTGAGTGTGTGTCTGTGCGTCGTGTGTGTGTCTCTGCGTCAGTGTCAGTGTGTGTGTGTGTGTGTGTGTGTGTGTGTGTGTGTGTGTGTGTGTGTGTGTGTGTGTGTGTGTGTGTGTGTGTGTGTGTGTGTGTGTGTGTGTGTGTGTGTGTGTGTGTGTGTGTGTGTGTGTGTGTGTGTGTGTGTGTGTGTGTGTGTGTGTGTGTGTGTGTGTGTGTGTGTGTGTGTGTGAAGCGTCCTGGAGCACGGACGGAAATTCCACATTGCAGGGGGACTGGAGCCGATTTGCCTATCCAGTCCAATGAAGCTACGGCATTTCGGTGGATACCGGATCTGATCAATCCGGCGTACCTGCCTATTTCCTGACCCTCTTTCCTGATTCTTTTTGCGGTTTCTGTTTGTCGCTGTTGCTTCCTGTTCGGTGTCGATGTTGTGACCTGTTGATTTGCATTTGCATTCAAGCATTTTTACTGACTGCGTTTTGCATCTCGGCTAGTGAAGCCTCTCGAGATAAGTGTGTTTACCCACGGCCTGTCCGACATGGCGCTGTGGGCTGGACTCGCCATATGCGGGAGCCCCCTGCGAGGGGAAGACCGTTCAAGTGTTCAAGTTCAAGCTGCAGTTCAGTTCAGCGCGTTTGACCACGATCAAGGCTGCAGCTTGAGGTCTTAAGGTATTCCGCACCCAAATGGTGCTCTGCTGGTTTCATGCGCCTGCACTGCCTGCACTGCCTGCCTTTGAAGCAAGGCTGCACCCACGAGGTTTCAGGCTCCTAAGCTTCATGCGCCAGTGACGAGTTGGTCATACACCAACTCTGCGATTCGTGGCGTTTATGGAAGCTTTCGTCTCGGATGAGTTCAGTTCAGATTCATCGGCATAGCCACATGAGGCACTTTCATGAGGCCACTTGACAGGCACCTCTGAGAACCCCTTTGTGCTCGCATGCATTTCTGTGGAAACTTTTGCCGTTGCCGCGGGGTTTTGGCGGTCCCCTGGTGGAATTCCCTCTGTTTGGTTTCGATTCGCAGGTTGAAGTTGGCTCGCATGCATTTGCACCATTGACGCATTTTTGCCGCAGTTGTGGTTTTGTTTTCACCCCTTTCCAACCTTCTCTCTCCCTTGCGAGATGGCTGGACACCAGCTCTATGACATGATGCATTCGCTCCTGCATAGCATTGCGACCGGCACCGCGTCCGGCTCACCAGGCAATTGTGGACCGAACTTGCAGCTGTCATCCCAGATGACGCAGCCCATGAACCTTGTACCGTCACCCAACTCGCAGACGGCATCCTTCACACCTTTCCCCATGATGCCCTACGGCGGCCTCTCGAACTTTGGCAACCCGATGGCCATGATGCCCTACGGTGGCCCTCCCAATTACGGCAACTTGGCACCTGGCACCATCATGCCTTTCATGACTCAGAGCAGCATGCCATCTTCACGCCCGAGCCTCAGCCGGCGCGCGCGCCCGAAGCTGCCGCTGCGGCTCCTGCCGCTACCTCCTCAACCAACCACCCTCCCCCGGACACTCGGCACCATCCCCACTCTCGCAGATCCCGTTCCCGCCACAGACAGCACCGACACTCCCACTCCCACACCAGCCACCATCGCAGGCACAACAAGTCGCACCGACGACACGACACCCGACGATCCCGCAGCTACAGCAGGTCACGTTCCCTTTCCCGACACTTCCACCACTCCCGACGTGCACACCACTCCACTGTCTCCCTCCGCTCCCGCTCCCCCCGACACAGGTCCCACCATCGACACTCCCCTGCACCCAGAGCCACGACTTCGCACCGACCCACTCACACTACTCATGATTCCACCTCCTGGCGCACTTCCGGGAAGGATTCCAACAAGTCTCAATGGTCCTCCTCACACTGGCGGAACCAATCGTGGGGATACCCACCACAGAACAAAAACCGCTGGGACATGCACCACCATGGCGCCAGCCACACCGGCCACCGAAACAACCAGGGCAAACGATCGTCCTGGTCACTGCAGCACCATGGGCAGCAACCCCACCCCACTTCCCGCACCGGCCACCACAACACTAGCTTGCCCCCTCACCCAGCACCTGCGGCGGCCTTCACTTCCACTCCCCCTCCCCCTCCCCGACCCACGCCGGCTACTCCTCACCCTCCCCAACCCCCCTTCGACAACACCGGTGATTTGGATCCCCCTCCATCGGAGGCGGACATCAATGCCACCACCACTTCCGACAACCGGTGGCTTGATCTATGGAGAAACGTCATGGACACGGCCAAGACTGACCCGCTGCGAGTTCCCACGCCTAGGGAGTTGGGGGAGCTGGACCCGCTTCCAGCCTTGGACATCTCCAGGGTGGAACAGACTAAGGCCATTTTGATGGACCTGGACCCTGCTTTGCCACCTTCACATGCCGATCTCCTCGCGGAATGCTGGGAACTGCGAACCATGGACACGGATGATCCCATACCGTTCGATCCCAGCTTCTACCACCTCTTGGGACGGGAATCACACGGCATGGTGTTCGCAACCACTTGGTTTCCCCGACCTCATCCTTGGCCAGTTGCTGGCGGAGACCCGGAAGCTGGATCCGGCACGGCCTCCCATCACGCTGTCATGTATGTGCACGGCACCACCCCGGATCGAGTGCGCCGCATGTGCCATGAGAACATGATCCGACCCGCTGCTTGGAGGCCCGAGAACCATGACTACCCGAGCTTTGGATGCTACGCTCAGGCCACCCCCACGGCATGCACGCCCGACACGCTCGGCCAGCTCTTGCAGAACTTTACAATCGGAAAGTCTCAACTCGGCGCCATCGCTTTTGGGGAACTACGCTCCATCAATCAGCACAAAATCCTCGAATCCGGGGGAAGCCACGAGGATCAACACAACGTGCGGCGCCACTTCGCATGCCGCCGAGGCAAAAAGTGGTGCCTTCACTCCAAGTTTGCGATGCTGAGAGGCATCGCGCTGCAGCGCCCGGCTTAGCGGGGCGCAACTGTACCATCTTCCACCCAACCAGGAAAAGAATTGGTGCACTGTTTGATCGCCTTTTTTCTTTGCTTTGCTGTTCTGCCTTTCCGCGACCGTTCTCTCACCTTGTGACCTTACCCGCTTGATTCCGCTCACCAGCTTGTGGTTCGAACATTTCCTTTTCCCCCGTGTTTTCTCATGGCTTTCCAACCCCCTCGAGGTTTGGTTACGGCGCTCCAAAGGCAAAACTTACCACCGCAGCCTTCGCCCACGGCATCCCATCATCATGGCATCGTGTACGGCAACAACATGGCCGGGAACCCGTGCGGGGCCCTGTCCGGGCCTTCCTACGGATGCTCTTCCACGGCATCGGCACCGCCAGCTACACATCCGACTCCCTGTCAGACCTACGGCCAACCTATTCCCCGTTACCCACCACACCCCGGCCCTCGTCCACCCTCCTTTCGCGGCTCTCTCCCCCCCCCTCCCGGCGGCAACCCCTTTCCCCCCCCTCCCCCCGTCCATCTCAGGCCTCCCTCCTGGACTTCGGCATGAAGCGACCACGGTTGACTACACCTGACACATCACCGCAGGACGGATCCCCCGCTCTACCCCTGCCCACTCGCATTGCAGACGACTCCCAACCCGGCTCCCCCCACCCACGGCGGCAACCCTCCAGCCCCCTCCACCCACGGCGGCACCCCGACCCCTCCCCCCCTCCCCTCCCCACCCACTTGGAAGGAGCCCCGCGACTTGCTCCAACCACCTCCCCACGTTTGCCAATGGCTCACCAGCAACTTCCCACCCGACATTTCCGACACCAAAGTCCAGCGATGGATCACCTCTCAGAAAACCAGCAAAGAGAGCAAGCAAGTCCTAAAAAGCTGGTCCAACGACTGCGCAAAATGGGCAACCACACTGGACTCCGACACCAGAGCCCAACTCGAACGAGCCGCTGTGCTATGGGGCATCCCGGTGCGAACCCTATCAAAACTGGGGTCATCGGGCCCTGGCCGAGTCACTTCTACCAGTCTCTCAACAGCACACCGACAACGACGCACAGCCAGGCAGCACAAATTTTGGCAACACCACTGCTGCCAACTTCTCACTGTCCTCCGTTTCACTCTTCGGTTCTTCCCAACCGATGACGTCACCGCACGTCATTCTTGCTCCTGGCTACTCGCACAGCTTCAGCTACTTGACGTCTGCCATCTCTCCTGTGGTTCCGGCAGACTGAAAGCCCTGCTTACTCGACTTGGCCTGGACAACCCTGCTTCCGATTTCTCTTCTCAGCTTGTCCCTTCAGCGGTTTATCTGAGATTCACCAGCCATCCAAAGTGGCAGGCCTTTTTCTACCTCGGAGCCACTCGCGCCTCCCTCATGGCACGGGGCCGCAGCCAACTTCGCAAACTACTCCAAGTTCAGCGACATCATCTGGTCAATGCCGAACTGGCAGTCCGGTGGTGGGCACATTTCGACTTTTTCCACCACTACACCTCGGTGCCCATTCACACTGTCGTTCCGGCAACGGACCTATTTGCCACTGAACAGTTCTGCATCCAGGAACTGCAACCGTCTCTCAATTTTGGCTTCATCGAGAAGCATTTCCGGCCACGCACGGGCTTCATACGCCAATTGGACTTCTCCCAATCCCGGCACATGGGCTTCGCCACCATCTGGCGGAACGCCGCCGACTACGACTACCCATCGCCCTACAACAGGCCTTCCTGGCCAAACGCGTGGACAACCGCCTGGATTTGTGGCGATTTTTGGGCGATCTTGGCAGCAACACTCTACGACGATTTGATGCCATCCGTTACATACGGACCAGAGACTTCCCACCCGCCGCTCTCTATGTCCTTCATCGCATAGCCACACACCTGCCTGAACCACACCACCAGGCATGCCTTTCCGCCATTCGATCCAGTTTACAATTCCGGGGCCTCATTCCACCTGGCCCCTCGAGACCGATGCTTGCACCCTTCCTCGCCTGGCGACTACTGCTAACCTGGTACCGACAACGACAACCACACTCCTCTACCACACACCTCACAGTGGACACACTTGACACCTCTGCCATCACCCGCGTCTACAACGGACGCCGTCGCCGACACAAACCCACACAACGCACCCTGTGGCTCGACGACATCCCCGAGATCATTCAGGCCACCCTTGACATGCAGATCTTCTCTGTCGGCCTTCGTTCATTCAGGCAAACACGTGGGGCACCGATGGGATCCCCCGCGTCCCCAGCTCTCTGTTTGATGGTGATCGCGGTCGCCGAACAATGTTGGACCAACACTCACATCACATCGGGACTTCGCTCCGTTGAAGATACTCTCCTACTCCGCTACGTGGACAACAGACTCGTGATCGCAACCCCCAGGTGGCTCTCGACTCCGGCAGCCAACATACTGTGCGACGAACACTTCTATGGAGGAGACATCTTCCTGGACACAGAAGCCGCCCTGGACTTCTTGGGGTTCCGACTGAACCTCACAAGCAGCACCATCTCCTTCATCCCCTCGCATGAGAAGCACAACATGCTCTCCGTCAAGTCAGCCGCACCACTGATGCATAAGGAATCTGGATGTTATTCCGGACGCACGCTGATCAACCGAGTTTCCTTTCCTGAGTTTCAGCGAGGTCAGGGTCTTGCAATGTTGAAGAGGTTGCACCTCCAACACGGTTTCACCTTACAAAGAGAAGAAAAACCGTCCTTTGCGGAACCACACTGGTTTTCTTCTCTGCCTTTGCATCCTGACAGATTTGACCTGATTTTCGCGCCGCAGCTGTTTGACTGTTTGACCAAAATCCGTTACGAGCATGGATACCAACACAGCACGCCAGCTGCTCCAAGACTTCGAACTCATCCTTGGCATTGCCCAACAAGGCATCGCCACCATCCGCGAGTTCCCTGAGAGTCCGCCTGCCGAACCTGATTTGGCACCGGAGGCCACGTTCAACCCCGCCATTGAGGACCTGACCAACTCACCACCAACACCCCTCCTGGCCCCCCTCGAGGACCTCTTTGAGCCACCTCCTGATGCTCCAGATGAACACCTTCCCACTGATCATGACGAACAATTCCCTGATCATTGGGCTCCGCCCACCCCTCCTCCGTCTTCTCCCGGCGAAAAACGAGCTCGCCGCGCACGTGATTTGGCCTCCTCACGATCTACGGCATCCAAAACCTGCTCGTGGACCAAGCGAAGCTACCACATCGACCAGGACTGATGCCTCTACTGAGGCCGAACCTGAAGCCTCGCAGCCTTGGACTGAGGGAGAGATTGAACTCCTCCGTTCCCTTAAGACCAATTCCAAAGCCAAGTATGTGTGGTCAGTCATCGCCACAAGACTTTCTCGCACAATTGATGCTTGCAAGACTCAATGGGCCTTGCACAAGTGATGTCGCCCCAGTTGGGGCTCCGTGTGTGTGAAGCGTCCTGGAGCACGGACGGAAATTCCACATTGCAGGGGGACTGGAGCCGATTTGCCTATCCAGTCCAATGAAGCTACGGCATTTCGGTGGATACCGGATCTGATCAATCCGGCGTACCTGCCTATTTCCTGACCCTCTTTCCTGATTCTTTTTGCGGTTTCTGTTTGTCGCTGTTGCTTCCTGTTCGGTGTCGATGTTGTGACCTGTTGATTTGCATTTGCATTCAAGCATTTTTACTGACTGCGTTTTGCATCTCGGCTAGTGAAGCCTCTCGAGATAAGTGTGTCTGTGTTTGTGTTTGTGTCTGTGTGTGTGTGTGTCGGTCTGTGTATCCTAGTGTGTGTGTGTGTATGTGTATCTGAGCGTGTGTCTGTGTGTGTGGTGGTGGTGGTGTGTGTGTGTGTGTGTCTCTGTGTTTCTCTGTTTCTGTGTCTGTGCTTATGTGTGTCTGTGTGTTTGTTTGTCTGTGTCTATGTGTCTTTGTGTCTCTGTGTTTGCGTGTCTCTGTGTCTCTGTTTCTCTGTGTCTGTGTGTCTGTGTGTCTGTGAGTCTGTGTGTCTGTGTGTCTGTGTGTCTGTGTGTCTGTGTGTCTGTGTGTCTGTGTGTCTGTGTGTCTGTGTTTGTGTCGGAGTGTGTGTTGTTGCGTGTAGCCCACATGCAGCAGAAGTTGAAACCTGGGTCAAACTGAATGTTTGTTTGTAGCTCTTTGCAGTTCTACTCTGTTTGATCCCACGCGTGGCTGACACTCATAAGACCGTCCCCCCCCTTACTTGCCATTTGTTCAGTCGATACCATGAAGGGAATGGGTGCTACAAATTAACCAGGGGTTTATTCATGCTGTTCATGGAGTCGGGGGGGTTATATGGGGAGCTATATTAAGCGGTTAACAAGGGATATACTATACCCCCCCCCTCCCCAGTTCACGCCCCCCAACGGGGTGCATGTTTTGAGCTCCCATGCCGCCCATTCAAAGTCCAAGGTGGGGCTGAACCCTTTCACCGCGACAGCTGCCGACGTTGGCGCTGCCGTGAAGCAGGCATCGAAATGCGGCAGGAGATAATAATTTGAATACATAGTTTACAACAAAAAGCATCCATTTGGTTAAGTAGGTTTTAAAGCAGATCTATCACTACTGGACTTTTTTGTTCCGAGGAACCGCGCAAAAGCAAATGGAAGAACTCATTGGAGGGTTCTTCAAAATGGTGATGCCATCCCCACCCACTTAACAATTTTGGCGGGGAAGCGGGTGGCCCCTGGAATTCCGTTTTCTGGTCCCATTTTCCCTTTTACGCGGTTGTTGTTGGGAAGCATTTTATATTTTTGCTTATTGTGGTTGAGTGGTTGAAATCCAACCACTTAACTGCTAAAAATTAAAATTTTGGCTCCCCTTCCAACGTCATAGAAGGAATTGTGGGACCCCCCCATCCCCTACCCTTGATGCCTTTTGTTTGGACCTTCTGATTCTGTGACCTCAAAAGGGAAAGGGGCTGGGTGATCCCACGCCGGGGTCTTATTGCTAGTATTATGGTCCATGCTTTAACGTAATGACTTCCAGTTGGTTAAGAATATTTGTTTTATGCCCCCTGTTGGCTTTAAAGGGAATCTATCACTACTGTTTTTTGTTTTTCCAGGGGACTTGAGCAAATGGAGGATGATTGTTTGATATTATTCTTCCATGTTGTGTTCCTCTTGTGCATCTGTTTGTGTTTGCCACTTCCTCTTTAAATTCTTCATAATATGCTTTCCATGTTTTGCCGGTTCCTCTGTTTGTTTTTCGTCAACTCTTGATCCATTTCATTCTCAATTTTGTTTTCTGTGTGATCCACCCCACCCCACCCCACCCCACCGCACCCCACCCCCCCCCCCCCCCACCCCACCCCACCCCCACCCTGGTCCCTTTCTCACTCCTGAGTTACTGAACATGAAGCTTTTTGGGTTTGGACCATGTTGGTGGCAAACAAAAAGTTTGGCTGCCTTTTCCGGCCCATCCGCTTAGGAAGTTAATTTCCACCCTCCACATCCAAACATGTGTGCCCAGTTTGTCAGGGCTCCTTAGAAGATACATCTTGCAACCATTTGAAACATGGCTTGTTCCACTAAAATAAAGGGAAACCACCATTTACAAGTTGCAATGTTCAGGTGCAGGGTTGTGGGATCAAGGGGTTTATCCCCACTTCTGTGATACAAGGGAATCTCCCCCTTTATATGGAGGGTTAGTCTTTGGGAAGCCCTTTTTGTTGTATCACAGAAGTGGTCATTTCCCACAGCCCTGTTCAGGTGTAAAATGTACGGATCCCAGTTTGAGTTTCTTCCCATTTTGGCTTCAACCCCATCGACTTCCGCCGCGGCTTTCCCGACTTCCACGAGGTCGCGGAGAACCTGGCTCTCTACTCGACCACAGCGAGAGAGATCTCCGAAGCGCCGCTCGAGGGAATGAAGCGCCAGAAAGCTGGTCAGGGCTCCTCAAAAGAGCCTCTCTTTTTTGAAGGGTATTTCCATTCCCGCTGGAATGTGTTTTTCCAGTTTCTCGGGCAAGTAAGCAAGCAAGCAAGCAAGCAAGCAATGAAGCACCTTGAACCTTCTTGGTATACTTTAAACACAAAACCACCTACCCTACACCTGCCCCAACTCACCTCAGACAAGAAACGCACCCCAAACCTACCCTTAATCTACCCTTAACCATCCTAAACGTACCAAACGTGCCTTGATCCCTAACAACGCACACCCTAAACACCCGATCCGAAACCTCACAAAACCCGCCTTTATCCTCAACTCAACCAACCCAAGCCCAAATTCCGTCTGAACCAACCCTAGACCAATCCTAAACCGACCCACCTAAAGCAAGCGCAACCAATGTTAGTGGGAGGAAGGGTAAATGGGGTTTGCCACCCCGGAATCCAAAGCCAACGGGAAGCCGACCGGATGCCCTTTCCATGGCCTTCGAGGCCGGAATTCCGGAATCCTCTTTTGTGCCTTGAAGGAGCTGAAGCCTTGACTGCTCTTGGGCAACGGATCTTTAGACTTTCACTTTTGGGGTGAAACGTGGAAGTGATGCTCCAGCAAACATCCGCAGCCAAGTTCCAGATGCTGTGCACAGACGTATTGAATACTTTGGTGCATTTTGCTTGGATCTTTACACTTTAACTTTTTGGTTGAAATAAAGGCTCAGTTGTTCAGTGGCACCATGTTTTTGTTCCTTCTTTTTGGGTGGCTGCCCCACTACAAATGGTCTTCCCCAAAAAGGGTTCCCTTTTAGGCATTTCGGCTCCACAGCTACTTGCCTCCGGGAGGTGTGCCCCCAGGGCTTCGCTAGGCATCCATGTGCCGGTGAAGCGTCCACCAAGCAGCTTGCCATGCCTCTTCTTCAACGTGGAGGCCCCTGCCCTACTCGGATTTGTTGGCAACTGTTAGAGTGGTGCGTGCTACGGTCTGGTGTGACTCTGGCAATTTACCTCATCCAGGTGGGCATTTTCTTCTCCTTCGAGGTGATTGCTTTTGCCTTTTTGCACGTCGTCGTGCTGCTTTGGGGTTTTCCACTTGCCACATTGTGGGTATGTGACCAATCTCCTGGAGTGTACCTTGTGGGTAAGGTTACCTCCTTGCTGGATTGTGCGAATATATGCAGTTTTTGCAGCAGCACAGACTCCGTGCAGATCTACAGTGGTGCTGGCAGTCCTCTGATTGCTCATAGCAGGTGCGACTTCTCCTATCCTTCCTGTTGCAGCTGGCTACTTTCAGTGCTGTCACTCTTCGCTGCGAGTGCTGTTTGCGCGCGTCAGAGCCTCCTCTACCTGGCGACTGTCCTTTCTTTGGCTCAGCATTTACTTCGTGGCACCCGTGCGGCATCCTACGCTTTGCATGCGCAAATCCCTGCTTTGGGGATTGGCTCTGTGCGGGTTTAGTCCCAGCCTCTGAACGCCTTCGGGTGAAGGTGCTACGTTGTGCTAGTCTCCCAGTTTGGATGCCTGGTCTAGGCCCGCTTTGCGTGGCGCTTTGTGCGG